AAGCCTAAACAACCTGAGAAGCCTACTGTTGTTATCATTGAAAAGCCCAAGGAGCCCGAAAAACAGAAAGTACCGGAAAAGCCCAAGCCCAAAGAGCCCGAAAAGACCAAAGAAGGTCCTAAACCTAATCCAGTGGCTCCACCATCACAACCACCACCGCCGCCGCCACGAGGATATTGTTGTGGACAATGCTACGAGGGTCATATCGGGGGCCCATGTTATCAATGGTACGGGAGACCGGTCCCTCCGGCACCACCGGGATATTGTTGTGGACAATGCTCCGAGGGTCATATCGGGGGCCCATGTTATGAATGGTACGGAAGACCGGTCCCATGTTACGATAACTATGGGCCTGGGCCGTATGTCTATGGAAGGGGCTTTTATGTGAGCAGATGTGACCAATACTTAAGTGAAGAAAATGCCACAGGATGCTCAATTATGTAAGTGTGGTCCAATGGCTGCTTCATCGTTACGGGTCATTATTCGTTATCTACCTTTTCATTGGGCTCCTCTTAATGTGGATGTCATTTTCTTTACAGATTGTGATAGGTGAAAAACAATATATATAGGTTCTTTTTTCCTTTTCTTTTTCTGTTGTAAAATAGAATAAAAGTTGTTAAGCAAATTGCTGGTAAAGCTTTGATTAATAAATGCCATTTTACAACATTACTAGTGGTCTAATGGATCTACTATCTACTATTACATAGTTTCCAGTTACTTTATTTACAATGAATGCATAAATATGGTTTTCAATATCTTTTGCACTTATTTTTTTCATAGCCATTTATATTTTCTCATAGGGAAACAAAACATTAGTTGACAAAGTATGTACTTTTTGTAACGATCCGACCGGTCGTTTTGGGCATTTACACTCCTTTCTACTATTTGAAATTTTGAATAGCTTCATATGATATATTATGACGTGTGTGAATCGTCGGTTTTGAATTTCAGGTGTTTCGGGATTAATTCGGAAAAAATGAAACTCATATTTAAAGCTTAAGTTGAAAAGGTTGACCAGATGTTAACTTATGTGTAAACGACCCCGGAATAGAGTTTTGACGATTCCAATAGCTCTGTATGGTAGTTTTGGACTTAGGAGTGTGTCTGGATATTTATTTTGAAGTCCGTAGTTGAATTTGGCTTGAAATGGCAAAAATAAAAAATTTAAGTTTGAAAGTTTGACCAGGGAGTTGATTTTTTGATATCGGGGTCAGAATTCAGTTCTGAAAATTTCCATAGGTGTGATAACCCAAGATGTCATCTTTAAATTTAATAATTAATTCTGTGTTTTAAGACCTCAAAAAGCACTATTTATTATTCCTCGACTTGCGTGCGTAATCTGTAAAATTTTCCGAAAAGTTTTCAGGTGAAAAATAGATTAAATAGAGCTTTAAAACTCAATTGAGTTGACTTTGGTCAACATTTTGAGCAAACGAACTCGGATCAGTGTTTTAACAGTTCCGGTAGGTCTGTATCGTGATTTGAGACTTGGGCGTATGCCCGGAATCAAATTCCGAGGTCCCTAGCCCGAGATATGGAATTTTGATAAAAATTTTAAAGTTTAAGTTCAAATAGTTATCGNAATTTTATTTGGAAGTCCGTAGTGGAATTAGGCTTGAAATGCCGAAAGTTGAATTTTTGGGAAGTTTGACCGAGGGGTTGACTTTTTGATATCGGGGTCGAAATCCGATTCTGAAAATTTTTATAGCTCTGTTATGTCATTTATGACTTGCGTACAAAACTTGAGGTCAATCGGACTTGATTTGATAGGTTCCGATATTGTTTGCAGAAATTGAAAGTTTCAAAGTTCATTAGGCTTGAATCTATGTGTGATTCGTGATTTTAGCATTGTTTGATGTGATTTGAGGTTTCAAATAAGTTCGTATGATATTTTAGGACTTGTTGGTGTATTGGGTTAAGGTCCCGAGGGCCTCGGGTGAGTTTCGGATGGTTAACGGATCAAAAGTGGGACTTAGTTGCTGCAAGTTTTCTGCTGGAAATGCTGCCAAAATCGGGCTGCCTGACAAAATCGAGCTCGCTGACAAATCTGTAAGTTATAAAAACAGGAGACTTCGTCCCATTTTCCTTTTTGACGAATTGGAGCTTGAGGAGAGGCGATTTTGATATATTTTCAAGGAAAAATATTTGGGTAAGTGATTCTAACTTGGATTTGGTCAATATACACGAATATATCATTGTTTTCACCATTTAATTTGTGTTTTGAGATTGAAATTTGGGAAATTTTAGAAAACTCATAGAAACGAATTTTTGAGATTTCGGTATCGATCCGAAGTCGGATTTGAGTGAAATTGGTATGGTTGGACTCGTAATTGAATGAGTTGTCGGATTTTATAAGTTTCGCCGGATTCCGAGATGTGCAATGTTTTAGCTAATTTCGGATTTCATTGAAAAATATAATATTTTCTTATGAAATTGATTTCTATAATTTTTGTTGACTGTATCGAATTAATTATGATTAGATACGAGTCGATCGGAGTCGAAAAATCGAGAAAAAAGCATAATACTTGATTAAATTAGAACAAGTCGAGGTAAGTGACTTGTCTAACCTTGTGTGGGAAAAATTTCCCCTAGAATTGATATTAATGTGATTATTGAAATGTGTTGAAAGTCGAATACACGATGTGACGAGTGTTTACACGGGCTAAATGTGAAAGATTATATTTTTAAATTGTGTAGATCATTGTTGCGCATTTATTAAATTATTTTATCTTGTTATATTCTTCATCATTGATCTGAGATATATATTTTAAATTTGTTTGACCTTTTCCTACTAATTGTTTTACCTGTTTAATTGAAACTTGGTTTCTTTTATACTGTGCATTATTTGAAGGTTGATTTTTTTTTAAATTAAATATTATTAATATGAATTATTTTATATTTTTAAATTTGATATTGAAGCAACATATTAAAAAAATTTGAAATATTATTTTCCTGAATTATTTATTCTTGAATATTTTCGTAAGATTTATTTTGGTACTCATTGTGATGGAGCCGTGAGCTCTTTATTGTGGAAAAAATTATTATTGTTGGATTATTCTGGCATGAGCTGTGAGCTCTTTATTATTGAAAAATATTATTGTTGATTTATTGTGAAAAATTGAAATATTTAGCACTTGAGGTGTAAATTATGATATATTGTGATATTAATACGCATGCGGTGGTATAAAGTCTGGGTATTAAAACGCATGCAGTGAGATAAGGGTGGCTTGATACGCGTGGCTAGTAGAGGTGACTACTAGAAGTTATGTGATGTGATAAGGGTGGCTAAAACGCGGGATGCTATTTCGGAAAAAATATTTTCTTTAAATTAATCATGAAGGCTCCCGCGGTGGCATAAGGAAATGAGATATTGTGAAATTATTTATAATTTGAGACTACGAGGCGGTACCTCAGTAGTGCCCTTGTTGATATTGATTTATGGCCATAGTTGCCTTCGATTAATTATTGTGATTTTCATAAAGTTGAAGGAAATTCTGTTTTGATTCCACGAGATATTATTTGTAATTATTTGGTGCCATTAAATGTGACATACTATTTGATTCATTTTCAATGTCATTTTATTTTACTATATTGTTAAACATTTTACCATGCCACTATTATATTCCAATAGGGCCTCACCTGACCTCGACACTACTCTACCGAGGTTAGGCTTGGCACTTACTGGATACCGCTGTGGTGTACTCATATTACGTTTCTGCACATCTTTTTGTGCAGATCCAGGTACAACTTACCAGCCTAGACGTCAGTGAGTTACCTGCGCACGGAGACTTCGAAGTATATCTGGCAGCGTCCGCAGACTCTGGAGTCCCCTTCTATCATTTTATATTGCTTCCTTATATTTTATTTAGACCTTGATATATAGAGACATTGAGAATAAATTCTTAGAAGCTTGTGATTTATTTCTACCGGGTTTTGAGAGTTAAAATTGTTTGAATTGTAGTTTATTTATTTTAGATATTTATTATTATTGCGCATTATTAGGCTTACCTAGTTTTAGAGACTAGGTGCCATCACGACATCCTACGGAGGAAATTTGGGGTCGTGACAATAGGTCCCTTATGTCATTTATGACTTGTGTGCAAAATTTGAGGTCAATCGGACTTGATTCGATAGGTTTCGGCATCAAATGTAGAAGTTGAAATTTTTTAGTTTTATTAAGCTTGAATTGGGGATGATTCGTGATTTTACGATTGTTTGATGTGATTTGAGGTTTCGACTAAGTTCGTATGATATTTTAGGACTTGTTGGTATATTTGGTTGAGGTCCCGAGGGGTTCGGGTGAGTTTCGGGGTGGGTTCAGATCATTTCTAGGCCATTTTTAATTGCTAGTTTTTGTCTACAGAGGTGTGCATCGCGTTCGCAAAGAGCAAACAACAGTTTAGAGCCTTATGAATCACGAACGTGGAAGCTCTTTCGCGATTGCGTAGAATATCTCTGCTGCACTAACCCGACTTTGAAAGCTTATATCTCGCAATCTATAAGGAATTTGGAGATGATCCAAAAATGAAAGGTGTAGTGCTTGGTGTCTTGTCTAGTTTTAAGAAAGATAAACCATTTGTTATTTGGAGTTTTGTAAAAAAAAAAATTATAACCATTATACTAGAGGCTGTCTGGAAACGTTGGAAAAGGCTATTGGAAAATTTGTTCATCGCGATCGCGGGGGAATGGCCGTGATCGCATAGAGTAAAATTTTGCTGGAAAAATTTTATGCTTCGTGATCGCATAGAAGAGTAAATGCCTGGACATAAGATATATTTCGAGATTTCGGCCATTTTAACACATTTGGAGCTATGGAGCTCGGATTGAAGCGAATATTTAGGTGATTTTCACCATATGGATTGGGGTAAGTGATTCTAACTCAGTTTTGGTTATATTACATGAATATATTGTTGTTGTTGTTGTTATCAACAAATTAGTGTTTTGGGTTGGAAATATTAAAAAAATTCATAAATTTTAATTAATGATTTGAAGGCCGAGTTGTGGTCGAATTTGAGTAATTTATCTATGGTTAGACTCGTCGTTGAATGGGGGTTCATATTTTATAAATTTTGTCGGATTCCGAGACATGGGCCCACTGGTAAATTTTGAGTGTAATTTCAAATTTTGTTGGAAAATTAGTACTTTCATATGGAATTAATTCCAATAATTTATATTGACTGAATCAAATTAATTATGACTAGTTACGAGGCTTTGAGAGGCCAATTTGCGAGGCAAAGGCATAGCGGGGTAAGGAATTATACGGTTTGAGGCAAGTAACACTTCTACACTTGATTCTGAGGGTATAAATCCCTGAATTACGCGTTATGTGAATTGTATAGAGGTGACGCACGTGCTAGGTGACGGGCGTGTGGGCGTGCACCATAGAAATTGTGACTTAAATAAATTTCGTGGAGTTGTAACGTTAAGGAATCATGTTATTATCCGCATATTCTCCATGTGTTAGAGAAATTGAGCTGAAACTCATATTAAAGATCATATTTAGGCTACGAGCCGATACTTAGGGACCCATAGGGTCGTGTTGATGTTAAATTTAATTATTTTAAAATGTACATTTCATACTTAGTCATATTCATCCATTGTGAGGATATTTATGGGATCGAGCTGTGCACCGTAGCATGCCATATTGGCTTTATATATTTATTATTATA